AAATTTATGCTTTTTATGGTTGATTGGAGGAGTTTAGAAAGTTATAGAGCTACTCAATAGCTTTAAAATGACAAAATCAGCTCAATAGGTGCTATAGTTACCGAGATATGGTCAGTTAAACGTGCAAGGTATCACTAATTAGCTCAAAATTTGTCAACAAGTATCTAATTAAGAGGCCTAGATTTTTCATTTCTGATCGTTTCTCATGGGTCCCCATAGCATACTAAAATTTGAACAAAATCCAAGAGATTGATGTTTTTTTTGTTGTTGATTTGACATGGAAATACCTAATAATGAATTGAATATTAGGCTGATAGAAAACTATCCACTGCCGGACAACATCCTGTTATTTCCGAGTCGTGGTTTTGGGACCATAATGAATTTAATATTACAGTTTAATTTAACTACATGCTGTGATAGAAAACTATCCACTGCCAGACACTAACTGGGTACTTTAGGGTTTCGGGGGTTCAGTAAAAATGGCATGTGTGTACATGTACCAATGACTGCTCCGATTGCAGATAAAGAGAGGAAATGGATCTAGTGGTCTATGTCTGCCTAGCCGCCATAAATGCTTAGTAGCTTTATGTTCACATCATTCCACCACAATGGGGTAAATGAAATCATAGCATCTGGGTAAACCCCTACTCTTCTGGAAAATGCAAAGGGTTAAGTGCTTTTTGTTTTTATAAATTGATGTAAAGTGCAAAGAGGCACTGCCCAATATGCACTCTTTAAATGCATTTCATCGCAGGTTATCTATCTTTTACTAACAACTTTTTATTTTCTGATACATAGAATGGATTACATAAGCACTTTGCCACCAGCTGTTTCCGGTAAGATGTCAGGTAATAGTGATGTTGTGCAACGAGTGAGACAGGCCAATCTTGTGACTCGCTTTAGTCACATGTTCACAGAGGAACGTATGGATGCTATGGATATGTTGCGCAACCATTGCGAAGATCATGAAATGAACCAGAGAGTAATAATGGCATGCGTCAAGGTTAGCCTAATTACATCATTTAGTATGAAACACCATTTCATAAGGAGCTAGAATCAGCACCCACTATAATCTTCCTATTATTCATGAGAAGTGCAGGAAGATGGTTGAAAGTCCAAACTAAAAGCACCAACTGCTCTCCAAATTTAGTTTATATATGCTATACAGTAAATGCTACTTAAGCTGTAACTAATCATTCATTCCAGCTTGGAGGGGTACCCTGCTAAAAGCACCAACTGCTCTCCAAAATTAGTTTACAGTAGAACCTCGTTTTTACGTACCCCAATTATACGAACCCTCGGTTTTACGTACGCCTCGTATCGACAATGACGTCATCAAAAACCCCGAAAATATTCCAAACAAACGGCCCTTTTCAGAGAAACCATAAGTAAAAAGACTATAACAATAAACTATAACAATAAACAAACCATAATGCAACATATTTTCATTAAACAGCAACATTGATTGAGCCTAATACCGGGTTGTTATAATCTAAAACCATGTGAACTGAGTGAGATGAACAACTACCGATGGTGCTCAAAATAATTGCTTTCCTCCTTACCTTAACCTCTATTTTACAAATCCCCCGATTTACGTACGCCCTTCGGTCCCGTACTGTACGTAAAATCGAGGTTCTACTGTATATATGCTATACATATGATACAGTAAATGCTACTTAAGCTGTAACTAATCATTCATTCCAGCTTGGAGGGGTACCCTTATATTAACCGTGATTGAACTTATATTAACCGTTATTGAACAAAATTTGAAAATTTATTTTCAGGAGTCATTTAGATGTTCAAAGCTGGCATTTCAGCAATACCGCAGCAAAATTCGTTCGACCTTACAATTGACACATGATGGTTTGGAAACCTTGGAAGAAGCTGTCCAGAATTATATCAACCGTAACGGTCAGCTGCTTGATGTCCATAGCATCATACAGGTGAGATCATGTCTACTAAACATTGTCATCTTTAACCGTCATCTGATATCTGCTAAACCCTGCATTTTGTTTTCATACAGGATGTACTAAGTGCTCTCAATCACCACCCCACTATTGCTTATCCACCTGTCGTTGACTTCAACATATTGATAACCTTCATACGAGAACTTGTCAAGACAGCATGGAACATGGCAGCTCTTCCATCACCACTGGATATCTCAGTTTGTAGGGAAGCTGAACTTTTTGATGACTTAAAGTAAGTTATCCTAATCTATGCTTCAAAGAGTGCCTTTTTCAGTCCCCTACAACAATTAAAAAATCAATGTGTTCAAACTATGCAGTTGTACATCTGTTCAAGA